GCCGACAAGGAGACCTCTAACCCAGGGGTGGGTCTTGGTACCTGTCCGTCGCTGTTCAGGTCGCGGCATGGCCGGAACCTCCGGCCGAGCCGCGGGACATCCAGGCGGAAATTCGGTGGCTCACCGAGACGTTTGTCGATCTTTGTGACATGGCAATGCCGCGTTCTCGAGGACCACCGAACCGGAGGTCGGTGTACTGGTGAACAAACGAGATAGCCACCCTAAGGATGGCATGCATCAAGTCCCGACGCCGGTACACCCATGTCCTCAGCCGCACTCCTGGCGGCAGAGAGACACGAGCAGCGGAGTTGGCGTACGGGGAGTATGTTGAGGCGCGTAAAACTCTTCGTACAGCCATAACTCAGGCAAAGTCCAGAGCGTGGACGGAACTCTTAGAGACTCTTGGTGGTGATCCATGGGAGCGCCCTTACAAGGTAGTCATGGGCAAACTTCGCCCATGGGCACCACCGATAACGGAGAGTCTCGATCCCCAACTTCTGGAGAGGGTAGTGTCAACACTCTTCTTCGACGAGAGGGGTGAGTGGCCCTCTCCGGAGCCGGAGTTGGATCCTGTAGAGTGGTCCGACGAGTTGGGGGTCACGGAAGAGGAGTTCTGCTGAACCGTCCGTCGGAAAAATACTGCGCCCGGTCCCGACGGCGTGCCCGGAAAAGTCGCGGACTTCGCCTTCGGACAAGGTCCCCTGGGAGCCCATCTCAGGCAGTTACTCTCCGACTGCCTGAGGACAGGGTGGTTTCCCCCACCGTGGAAAAAGGCCAAATTGGTCCTCCTCCGTAAGGGGGGTCGGCCCGCGGACTCGCCGTCCGCGTTCTGGCCGATCTGGCTGCTCGACGATGCGGACAAGTTGCTCGATCGCGTGGTTGCTGCCCGTCTCGTCGGGCACCTGCCGCGGGGTCCGACCTGGCCGACTGCCAGTTCGGTTTCCGGAGGGGACGATCGACGGTGGACGCAACCTACCGTTTTAAGTCCCTCACGGATACAGCGGTCGGACAGGGGAGGGTGACGTTGGCTGTCAGTCTTGACATATCCAACACCTTCAACTCCCTCCTCTTGGATAGTATAGAGTGGGCGCTATACCATCACGGCGTCCCACTCTATCTGCGTAGGATCCTCGGGGATTACTTCCGCGGCAGGGAGATCAAGTATACCGGCCGGTATGGGTCACCACACGTGAAGGAGATGTACCGCGGGATTCCGCAGGGGTCCGTGTTGGGCCCCCTGCTATGGAACCTCGGGTACAATGTGGTGATCCAGGCCGTCCTGCTCAGGGACACGGGTGTCATTTGTTATGCAGATGACACCCTCGTTGTGACCACTGGGCAGGACTGGAGGAGAGCCAGAGTTTTGGCGGAGGCTAGCACGAGTTGTATCGTCGGCCGAATTGAGAGGCTGGGTCTAAGGGTGGCCGTCCACAAGACGGAGGCCATGTGGTTTCATGGCCTCCCCCGTGGGCGGGTGCCGGAACTCAGCCTCAAGATAGGTGAGGCACGGGTCGAGGTGGGTAAAACCTTTAAGTACCTCGGTCTTCACCTCGACCCGAAGTGGCGCTTCGATGAGCACTTTGTTCGTCTGGCCCCAAAGGTCGGAAGGATTGCCAACTCACTGGCGAGACTCCGTCCAAACCTCGGGGGCCCACGTGAGAAAGTCCGCCGTCTCTTTACTAACGTGGTGCACACGGTGGCCCTTTACGGATCACCGCTGTGGGCGGGAGTCGCGGCGGGGGCGGGCGCGCGGAGCAAGTTTGGCTTGCTCCGCGCTGCCCAGAAAAGGATTGCTCTTCGCGTGATCCGCGGTTACCGCACGGTGCCCACGGAGACGGCGGTAGTGTTGGCGGGGATACCTCCCTTTGCCCTCCTCCGGGCACGGTAGTTTTGGAGACTACCTGTGTCGTATTGGCAAGACAAGATCGCCAAAATGTGAGCACTGTGGTGCGACCGTTGATACGGCTCACCACACGCTCATCGAGTGTCCTGCGTGGGATACAGAACGCAGGGCACTGAGTGACGTCGTCGGACCGGACCTATCTTATCGCTCGCGGTTCTTTTCCGCGGTATAGCGGCCGACATTGATGTGTGGGACGCGGTCGTCTCTTTTAGCGAAGCAGTTATGCTTGCTAAGGAGATGGCAGAACGGGAACGTGAGCGTAGGGGATCCTCCCCTATCACCAGAACCGAGGAACCTTACAGGTTCTCTCTGGGTCTCCTTGGCTCGTTAGAATTACCATCGAGTGCTCTAGTTGTGTACTGGACGGGTGACCTTCAAGTCCAACATCTTCCTGGCCAAGAACAGTTTGGCCCGACCATCAGGCCCGGGGGAGATCCTGTCACCGAAGCAGTGCTTCAGGGCCAGTACCGTTAGCAGGATCGTATTCATCCTCTATTGTATGTCACGAAGAAAAAAAAGATTAAGCCTGGCACAATGTCCACGGTAGGCCAACGAGCGCCGAAAGCTGACCGCCAAAATAAGTGCGGACCTGTCCTTGGAGAGCCTAATGAGGGCGCTGGCCTCCAGGAACGAAAACAAGTGGGGAGCCGTAGTCTCCTTCTGCTCCACGGTAATGGAACAAAAGGAAGCTGCAGAGAGGGAGAGGGAGCGAGCTCCTCTCCCTCAAGGAAGGCCTTGGAAGCGGGCGCGAGCGGGCGACAAAGCGCCCGTTCCCCGCGCTCGTCCTCGAAGTCAAAGGCCTCCCCCTCATTGACATCAATTCTCCTCCTCCACTATAGTGAGGAAGAGGAGTCAGAGCGGCGGACTCGTGGGGGAGACGGGTTCCCTGAGTAGCTCGCCGCTCTCCAGAAAGGGACATTTTAAAGTGGAGTAGGAGCGCGGCAGCTCTTGGGTGGAACCGTCCACCCAGGGGAGATCTTGCCGCGGAGACCGCGACAGGTCGGGGCGGGGGCCCCGACCTGTCCTGCACGCGGTCCCGAGTGGAGACGACGCAGCGACGTGTGTCCCGCTGCGTTGTCAAAGCAGAGAATGACAGAGATGAGAACGCATTAAGTTCTCCCTTCCCAGTAGTTACAAGAACCCGAGGGAAGGTCCCGGCAGAGTCCTTACCAGGGGTTCCGGGTCTCTCAGGCCTCCCTCAGACGGGCTGAGTAGGTACACCGTGGTGGTTTTAGTGGGTACACCCCTTCTTCTTGCGGGAAGAAGGGGGGAGTCCCACATACCCATGATTCTCTCACTCGAGGATCAGGATATCCGTAATGGATTTCCACCACGTAAAAAAAAAGGTTAAGCCTGGCCCTCGATTTGGGGGTCGGGGGGACAGCTCCGGCTTTCCAAGGGCAGAGCTGACTACCATCGAGCGCATCCTCGGGTTGCGGATAGGGAAACGGCCTCAAGTACTGTAGTTAGCTGCGAATAATCCCTTCGGGGGTAATAAGCAGTCGCGGACAAACAGCGGTGGATACTGAAGATGGGGTGGTTGCTCCTGTGGGAAGGGAGTAACCTATAAAGTGCCCCATTAAACCTGATGAAGTATCCACGTCAAAGGCAAGGTAGTGCCGCTTTAAAAGCACTCCAACTTCCGGGCAGATCGGGCTCGTTAGGTCTTGTTTACCAACCGATCTAGGTGAAGAAAAACACTGATGTAAAACCAAATAAGAATTGCTAAATATGGAAGAGGACTTGACGAAGAAGAACTTACTGCCCCAGAGTGTTCGGACACTCAGGGGCCGACACGGTGGGAGTACTGTCCCTGCTCCCGCCGCGTCGTTATCCAGCAAAGGGCAGAAGGAGGGGTTGACGGCGGGCCTTTCTGGAGAAGTTGGTACCGCCGTAGCAGAGGAGTAAAGAGAAAAGAAGAAGGCCGACAAGAGGAGATCCGACCGAGGAGACCGACAAAAAAAGACCGAGAGATCTTAAATCGGCTCTTCAGGAAGATCAGGAAGAAGCCAATGGCTCTTTTACAGAGCTGAGTGTCGGCGACCTCTTCAGCCATCTTGCAGACTGTCTGGACGAACTGTGGGCACGGCTTTGCCGTCGCTCAAAAATGTCCAGGGAAGAGAAACCAGGCAAATGTCCAGGGAAGAGAAGGCACCGCGATGGAGCTCTACTCCAGGATCACCGCAGGTCTGATAGAGCTCTAGGCCCGGAATAGCCGTCGAAAGGCAGTCGGCGACATTGGAAAAGATGTCGCCAATGCGGCAACATAAAGGAGATTGGTCGGTGGCAAACTGCCTCCAAACATAATATTACGGAGACGATTGTTCAGGTCAGCGAAGATATTAAGGAGTATTACTCTCGTAGCCTCGCTGACCTGAAAGCAATCCAGAAGGATGTGGACGAGGCACGTGCGGCGATAGAGGAGGTTCATAATGAAGCCTCTCGGTCGCTTCACGCGCTTCACGAGAGCATGGGGCCGTCCATGCGTGCTATCGCCGACGTCTCCGTGGTGAGACCAGAGGGAGCTGCGTGCTCCACTCCGGTCAGAGGAGGGAGTCAAATTCCCTCTTCCTGGCTAAAGGAGATAGAGCGAGTGGTGCGGAGCACTGTCTCGGGTGAGCTCGAAAGACTCTTGGGGCGAGGTCACTCAATGCAGCTCTCTTCAAAGGTGATTCCGATTCCTTCGTCTGTCCCTACTGGTGTGCAGACGGAAGAAAAGAATAGGAAGAAGAAAAAGAAAAAAAAGAAAAGGAAAAAGGAGGGAAAAGAGATGGTGACGGCCAAAAAAGGGAAAGGAATGGCCGTTGGGGCCGGCAGGGGGGAGTCTTCTCCTACTTTGCCACCCCTCGTCTCGTCAGCAACCTCCACGTGCGGTCTTCCCGAGGACTGAGGCGGTCACCTTGCGTCTCGAGGAGGCGGGCATATCGTATGCCCAAGTCCTTCGAAACGCAAGGAGTAAGGTAGACCCAAAGTCGGCGGGTGTTTTTAGGGTCCGCCGAACCTTTGAGGGGCACCTGTTGTTAGAAGTGGGGAGAGAGGACCGCAAATCTAGAGCGGACCTTTTCGCTTCCAAGCTCAGGGAGGCTCTTTCTAGGGAATGAAGGTGGCTTGTCCATTCCGAAACGTGGAGATTATGGTTTCGGGGTTGGACGAGTTCACCTCTGAGGAAGATGTCCGAAAGGACTTTGTGGTAGAGTTTTGCGGCGGGAGTGGCGTTAAGGTAATATCCTTGCGTCTGGTCAGGTGGCAGGAGAGGATACAGAATCCTCTTTTGCCCGGTAGGAGGGAAGCCGTGGGCCCTGTGCTCCCGGACTGGGTGGATTGCTGCCACGGGTATCTTACCTTCGTCACCACCCAGATCCTAACGGGGCATGGGGTGTTCGGCAATTTCCTCCATCGGATAGGGAAGGCGGACTCTCCAGCGTGTGAGCACTGCGACTCGGACTTCGACTCTGCGGCTCACACGTTGGAGGAATGTCCAGCATGGGAGGAGGAGAGAGCAACGCTCATTTTCGTGGTGGGCCAGGACCTCTCCCTGCCATCTGTCGTTAGACAGGGACCAGGAGAAATGGCGAGCGGTGACGAGGTTTTGTGACCTCGTCATGCAAGCCAAGGCGGAAGCAGAGCGGCTGCGGCAAAGGCAGCCAGCTGGCAGGAGGCGGTACCGTGCGGCAACTCCCTCCTCGGATGGAGATTAGGCCGCAAAGAACCTGCACTTAGCTGCAAGTGAGGAGGTGGATTCTTTCCCTCCCTCGTCTCGTTGGGATGTCTCTAAGACTACTCCACAGCAGGCGGGGGAGAGAGGAATTCGGGGTTACAGGCGGGAGGTAGCGGGGGCTCCCTTCTGCCATTGCACGTAACCTATGGAATTAGGTGGAAAAGTGTGGTGGTCCCACTTCTTCACCTAGTTGGAGGTTGAGGGAAAATGAACTGTTACCATCTTCCCTTAGGACATGCATAAGGGAGGGAGCCGCGAGGTCATAGCCTTCGGGTTTTCCAGGCTCCCTCCTGAGTGTCGGAGGACCGCCGAGGAGTTTTAGTGGGTAACCTCTCTTTGGGGAGTCCCACACTACCCCCACTCTCCCCCGAGAATGGAGGTGTTCATCAAGGATTTTTCCTCGTTAAAAAAAAAAAAAAAAAAAAGTATCCTTGCGCCGCGCCTCGTCCGCGGATGGAGCCGCTTTGGTTCGCTGCCCAGTTGAGGCGGCGGCCAAGGCGATTAAAGCAGGGAAGCTTTCGGTGGGCTGGGTGGTGTCAAGGGTGCGAGCACTCCCGCCCCTTGCAGTGCTACAGGTGTTTTCAGCCTGGGCATTGCAGGGTTCTGTGCTCCAGCCAGGATTTATGTTATCGCTGTGGTCGACCGAAGCACAGAGCGGCCGGCTGCAGTGAGAAGGAGAAGTGACGAGCGGGTAGCGGTAGAGCGAGGTTCCCTGGCGGTGGCGGCGGTGTCCCACCGCATGGGGCTATTGGGGATGACTTTCGCACCGGCCAAGACGAAAGCCGTGATCTTCCGTCCTCCTCGTTGTCGCAAGAAGGGACCTGTGACAGTATGGGTTGGGCCGACTCAAGTCGCAACCCAACCACATATGAAGTACCTAGGTCTACAGGTAGACGACAAGTGGCGGTTTAGGGCCCACTTTAAATACGTGGCCCGCAAGGCCCGCAAAATGGCCTGGGCTCTGAGCCGGCTTCTCCCCAACCTCGAAGGGCCGCGGCAGAGTGTGCGAAAGTTATACGCTAACGTCGTGCACTCTGTCGTTATGTATGGTGCCCCTGTGTGGCACCGGGAGATCGGGATGGGCCGGGAAGCTGCCCCAATAGCCTCGGTTCAACGCTTTGTGGGAGGCCGGATGGTGCAAACCTATCGAACCTCGAATCCGTTCGACTGCTGGCGAGGATCCCACCTGTGGACCTGCTGGCCGATGCATACGCGGAAGCGTACGAGGCCAGAAAGGCGGAGTTGGGCAGGGCGCGTGCGACCGGCCGAGATCTTAATTTGGAAGAGATCAGGCGCACGACCGTATGGTTCTGCGGTGGCAGCACAGGATCGAGAACCCGCGTCTCCAAGGACGGAGGGTTAGAGAAGCGGTAGGACCGGTCCTGAAAGACTGGGTGAGTCGCCCGTACTTTTGGATATCATTTGATTTACCCAGATGGTTACGGGCCACGGAGTTTTCGGTGTGTTTCTGCACCGCATAAATAAGACGGGCACCCCGGAGTGCGAGCACTGCAAAGTCGCGATCGACACCGCGGCTCACACTCTCGAAAAGTGCAATACGTAGAACGAGGAGAGAGTGGCCCTTAATGAAACCCAGACCCAACGACAGCTGCTCCTCAGTTGGTAGCAGCATCTGGACGAGCCACACGCAGCAATCCAAGAAGTCGTTGCGGTCGTCCGGCTCCAAGTATGGTTAGAGAACGGGATCGGACGCCTCACCTATAGGGTGACACAGGTGCTTACCGGGCATGGCTGCTTCGGTGAGTACCTGTGTTGCATAGGCAAGGAGCTAACGGCACAGTGCCATGCGTGCGGGGCGGCCAGTGATTCGGTGGAGCACACTGTGGAGGAATGTCCACAGTGGGCTCCGGAACGCCGAGAACTGGTCGCCAAAATATGCAAAGATCTCTCCCTGGAGGGCCTGATAAAAGCCTCCTGGGAGGAAGACGAGTGGAAGGCGGTGTTTTGCTTCTGTTCCAATATAATGGAGCAGAAGGAGGCCGCAGAGCAAAAAAGGGAGAGGTTGCTTCTCCCTCTGGGGAGACCCCGAGGGCGCGCACGTCCGGGCGATGGGGCGCCTCGGTCCCTGCGCCCGTCCCCGCGCCCCAAGATCTCAATGACGATAATTCCCTCCCTACTTGTGTTTGGGGACGCAACTTGCGCCACCTTCGGAACAGCCACTTCGCTGGCTGCTTCCGGCTCGCACATAGAGTGCACTTGGGGGCAGCCCTGCATGCAATGGCGAGGTGGCCGTCCTCCCCGCAGCGGTAGCACGCACTGCTCCGGTCTACACCGGAACACTTGGGTGCCTCGTGGCCGTACTCGAGGCACCGATAGCACATTTTGCATAGTGTTTCTATGCAAAAAATAAGATTTTTATGGTGGAACGATGGATTGGATCTTCCTGAGTAGGTAGGTTTGTGGTACCAGTCACAAACTATAATATTGTTTTTGAGGATTAAGTTGAGATCTAAAAAATTGAGTTGATTGTCTATTTATAAGTTTGTGACTGGTACCACAAACCTACCTACTCAGGAAGATACCTGAATTACCTATCTCAAAATCCACTATGCCACAAAATCGGCACCATCCACACATTAATAGATCGTGCCATATTACTATCCAATCCATCGTTCCACCATAAAAATCTTATTTTTTGCATAGAAACACTCATAGATAACAATTATCCAATTGATTTAATTTTTCACACAATCAATAAAAGAATAAAAACTTTGTTTAATACCAAATTAAATGACAATGAAAAACAATCAGACACACCTCCTGTAAAATTCTTTGTAGTCCCATTCACACCCATGTCAACCAACAGCAATTTCAATTTCATCAACACAAAAATTCCACAGACTAGATTATCATACAGAAATTTAAATCAGTTGGATAAATTTATNAAATCTCATAAAGATCCTATCCCTCCAGAAAAACAAATGAACGTCGTCTACAATATACAGTGCCAAACTTGTGAAGCAAATTACGTGGGCCAGACAA